TAAGGAGTAATAGTAATTCAGGTCTTACACCAAGGAATGATAGTAAATCGGGCTAGGTCTGGAAATTATTTTCTGATTATAGTAAGAGACATTAAACAAAGGAGTATTAAGCCTATGTAACATCTGCTGTAAACATACACATTTTAACAGTCACCTTATTATAGCAGTTTTCACACCTAAAATTCATCTTTGCACCGATTTCCTGAAGTGTGATAATATGCATTATAATTTAATTGTTAGATGGTATGTGTAGTATATATAATTACTTATATAAGTTAAAATAACAGTGTAATGGGAAGTGATATATTACACATAGTTGGAGGCCTGAATTATATCACATATGGAGGAGGCCTAAATTATCTCCAATTTTTTATGAGAATTCAAAGATGGCAGCGGAGGACTTGAGTAAATTTTGCATGGTTTATATTGTGTAGTACTTGATATTGAGACCTTACATGAGAGGAAACTGTCATTGGAGGACTGATGTGTCTGATCGGGAACATTGTATTATCTGGTGTTGGACCTCAAACACATCCTGTTCTGTGTATAGAGCTCTATAGGGATTAGATTTAAGACGTTAAACACACACTCCCCCAAATGGCGAGTTGTCTGTGTAACCCTGTACTTTTAAATCGTTTTTATTGTCCGTAGATACCAATAGATTTAGAATTAAATGACAAAGTTAGGAGCTGTAGCTAGACTGACAAAAATCTCTCTCTTGGAAATAATCATTCTATAAATCTTTCCAAATACCACATAGGTGCTATAATAAGAATACATGTAGTTCAAAAAACAGAAATGTTTAAAATTGTTTGAATATGTATTTGTAGATTTGTGTAGTTGGTGTAGGTATAAGAACGGAAAAAGTCAGGAAATTACTGACAGAATATACATATTGTAGCTAGTTAACCCATTTTATGAATGATATTTTATTTGATATACACTCAATTTTGACTCAAATTTGCTATTTGCTGTAAAGCAGATAGCTTTACATCCGGGTCGAAGATGATTGAGGTCCTCAGTGTTATGTCTTGAATGATGACGCACATTTGATAATAGGTCAGCTGTATGTGAAACTGATATAAAATCAGCCATAGAAAGATAAAATGGTTCATAAGATGTCAGTCAAGTAAAAACTGTAATGCCATTGAAAAGATTTATTGAACCTTGAAAAAATCTCTCTTTAAGCTATAAGCATAAGAGTTTAGTTGGCAATAGTGTGTAGGATAGCTACATGCGACTGTTATGTTTAGGTGTTAAGCTATAGTCTCTAGAATCTTACTGGCTTCTGTAGAGGTGGATCTGTGAACAGCTGTGGAAGATCAGCTTGGGTGATAATTATAGTTATTACAGTTGATATATTACTGTCCAACAGACATTCCTCTTTTCCAGGCTCCATTGTTCTTTCACCTTCCAGTCATCATCTGAACGGTGGAGGCCAAGCTAAATTTATGTTTATTTGTCAAAAGGCCAAGCCAAATTTACGGTAATTGGTGAAGTTTTTTTTCTGGCATTGCAAAGTTCTAAGTTTGGATATCATTTTATGTTTATTTCATGACAGATTTCTTAACTTGCATTTTTATGGTTGGGAGCTGATTTATATAGGAGTCATTGCTTTAAAATTTTATTTCAATGTAAACTAGAAGTGATTTTGAAGACTTGTTAATATTCGTAAGTTACAGTAACATCAGCCTTTGATTTGATATAATAGTACATTTATATATACAGGAGTCAAATGTTATTGGTTAACTGGGCTGTTCTGTTAACCTCCTCATCAAGAATTTTAAAAAACTTTCTGATATGTTATCATCAGTTTTATCAGGAGGGTTATGTTGAGACTTCATTTCTTGTGCTGATATTTTGGACAAAAGAAAATCTCCATTATTCTTTGATAATTGGGTAAAAATACATGTACATCCTCTTTTGTAAATCTGAAATGAAAGAATCATATTCAACAAAAAGCCCATGCCTAGTGATAAATGCACTCATATCTCCACTGGTTTTCAAATGTTCTTGAAATTTGCAATCTAATGCTATATATATATGTATTTAGTCCTCCAATAAGACTATTACCTTGTGATTCTGAGTCAGAATATTGGTTTGATTCCCTCTAGCTAGGGCTTATTTCTTTGTAAGTGTAAGAACTTCACTGAAATTCAGTTCTCATGTATAAATCTTACCAATATTGAAGATCGTATAAATTGAGGTTTGTCTATGTATCTACCAAAAATTAACTTTGTATTTCAGTTCTACAAATATTGCCTTCCATTGATTAAACTCTTATCTGTTATAACGGTAAAAATGACACGATTTCCTACTCACGTTTTACTCATTGCCTTCCTACAATTATCATGACATAATAGATCTGTTTAGCCCAGTATCCTATAGATACTTACAATAGATATCACCCCACACTAGGTTTCAAATCTATTCAATAGCATTGAAGATAAATTTCCTGTATAACCGTACAGGTAAATCATTTCTGTACTTGTACAGGTAACATACAGGTTGTGTACATAGGAATTTAATCTAAATTTCTATCTTGTCTCCATGTTGTCTTATTAGAATATTTCAACCTTCAATATATGTTTGACATTCCTTCACATGTAAAATCTGACTGATGTAATAATATTCTGCTTTTACCTAACAATTTAAATACAGGAATATAGTATGTTATTTAATGAATAAATTAAATTTTTTCAGCTGTGTTTATATGTTTATATATTGATAAAAAGGGCATTTGAGTTCCATTATTTTAATATATCTTTATAGGAGTATCTTAATCAGAAAATTTTAATTTATACTATTTCAACAAAAAACATAGGCCCAATGACATTATATATGATTGTTCATGACAGCCAAATACCATTGGAGTGAGTTCATTTGCAATGATCTGATGTAATGGTCATGAAAGTGGTTGTTGATGTTATAACAAACTATAGCCTGATGACACTGAAAGGTTGATGTAACATCCCTTTTGAGTATTTCCTGTAACTCCTATTCCGTGGTAAGGGAAGATAGAGTTTGTGAAAATGAAAAAAAGTACATACCAATTAAATGTTAGTATCCCTTTTCTGTGGTTTTAATTACCTTATGACCATGGATTAGCTGTTAGAATGTTGATGAGATTTTAGGTGACTAAAGAAACATTCTGTACACATGCACAAGGTGCATCTTTAAATTATCAAATAAATTGTTGCATAACTGTAATTAAGTTTGTTTGATCATAAAAAAAATGAGATATTTTGTTTGTTTATGAGATTGTAATACCAATCTTGCAACTTTCCTTTTCTTGTATTTAGGACACACCTATATAGGGTGTTATATCCAATAGGATTTAGTTTCTGGTTAGATCTTTGTCGTGTAATGATAAAATAACCACAAATTGACTCAGTAGAAATATCAATCATTATGGGGTCACCCAAGTCTTTAAAAAGCTGTTAAGGACATTTACTTTGACAAAATATACACTCAAATTATCTCCTACATGTGTACTTACTGGTGGTCACAAAAGTGAATGTTTTATTAATGGAGATTAAAATACCAGGAATTCTTCGATTGGTCTTGTACGTTTGTTCTTTGTTGTTGAAATTCTTGTTGGAATTATATCAGGTCAAATTTCTTACTGAATATTTATCTTCCTGGGATCTTGTTTTCAAAATTACCCATTCATACAGATACTAAATTACATCTGATTGTATCTGGTGACATAGAACTAATGATTTCTGTACGTTTCTTCAACATACTTCATGCACCAATGCCCTTATTTCATTCTGTTGTTAATTTCTTTATATCTTTGTTTGGAATAAAAAGTTTGAAATCATTTTGTATATAGATAATTCTGCATCGTTTTGTAAGGATAGATACCAGACCTCCTGTATGTTGTTCAGTGAGGTAGCCACCAGCTACTACAATTACAAGGAGACCCTGTCTCAAAATGACAGACACTGCTCAGGAGGCGATAAAGCCTGCAAACAAACTTTATGTTAAATGAAAGTAATTTGTCAGTTTTTTTCATCAATACGTGTGACATTCCAGATAGTTCTTGTTCTAGTTCCACAACAACTCAGACACATGACATGAAAGAGAATATGATCGTGTAAATGGTATCTATGTATGTACCATGGTTATGAAATATAGTTATTTGCACTGACAATCAGTTGATTGAGTTTTTGTATAAGTCTCAATACTAAAAATGGTTTATCATGTCCTTAAATATTTTTTAAAATATCTCATATTTTATCAACTTGCCTATGGAAATCACATGTATAATTTTACGTTTGATTTGATGCATGATGGAATAGATTTACCTTTAATGTCCCTGGTTCTTGACACGTATATGAGATAATATCCACTTGTAAAGAATAATGAGACAAAAAATTTTTTAGAAATGATACTTGATACCTAATTTTCCTGGGTTGTCCTTCCTTACAGTCAAGTTACATGCGGGAAACCGTAATGCACTCAGGAGAGATTGACACTATATACATGATGTATATAATCGTAACAAATATTTTGTTCATATTTTCAGTGCATGCTATCCACATGTTTTAGGTTATTTGATTTAAATGTCACAAACATTTAGTGTTGTTTACAAAAATATATTCAATAATTTTAACTATGAAATTGCTATTTCACAGCAAATGATTTTGCTTAGATTGTTTGCCAGTGTGTAACCTCTGGTGAAGATTCAAAGTTCTTGGTTTGACCCTCCGTACCTTTAGTTGTTTTTGTTTTTCAAGAAGATTAGAAACAAAATGGTCTGTGCAGATGTGGTTATGTCTTTGTCCTATTAGCTTATTGATTTGGATGACATGCAGCAGGCCTTGTGTATGTTGTTTATTGAGATAGTCACCACCTACCACAAGGAGACCTGACCATGGCTGTTCAAAAGACAATAAACCCAAAAACAATTAAGGGTTCTGATTGACCACTTTTGAGTAACCAATCAGATTGCTCATATTTGATATATTAAGTAAAATCCTTGTACTTGGTTATAGTGAATGTGGTGGAAGCATTACAAGAGTTCTGGCAGATGAAGCAGGATCGTGGAGCAGATTTGAAGAATGGAGCCCTAGTTGTGTATGAGTCCCAACCGTCAGCTACACCACCATATGTGTGTTACGTCTCCCTCCCTGGGGGAAGCTGCTTTGGCAGTTTTCAGGTTTGTATGTAGAGATGTTCACTGATTAATTTGCCCTCCTGTCAACTGTTATGTGTGCACAGTACATGTTTACATAGATGGAGCTGTATTAGCCTAATCACTAGAGCATTGGTCTATGTAACAGTCAAGTGAAGATCAGAGATGTGTGGTACAATGCTCCCTACCCATTGTAGTTTTCGTTTCTCAATTAAAAAGAACTGGTCTGTGCTGCTACTACAAGGAGACCCCACCTGGAAATGCTCCTGGTTCACATCTTCACAACTACTCTTAATGAAATAACCCTTCTTAGTATTGACTGCAGTATCTAGATATAGTGGACGTATTACATTAAGGCATGGGTATTCATCAATGGTGTCAAATAAGAAACTTCAGAAACTTTTTTTTAGTTATAAAAATACATTTTATATATGTTGTAAGTTGTATAACAAGGGTTTTTTACTTATATAAATTAATTGGGAAAATGAGCAGAAAATTTGTTTTTAATTCATAAATTTTTTTATTTAAAAAAATGTTTATGCTTGACCTAGCATTCAGTTGAATAAATTATACAAGGAAGGGGTGATCCTATTGACATTCATAGTCTGATAATTACCTAAGAATTAGCCAGTATTTATTGACATTAAAGGTGATTATATGACAGTCAAATCCATAGAAACCTAAAATTATATACTAAATTGCTTCTAGACTAATTTTCTTTGAACTCTATAACTATTAAATCTAATGAAGGCCATAATTATCTGCTGAATTGCTTCTTTACACATTTTCTGTGACTATTAGGTAGGCAATTATTTGGTAATCGTTGGTCGTGTTTATTTTTGTGATACACCTACTATACAATTTAAAAGCTTGCTATGCTTGCTGTAAACGGTAGCTATACATAGTCTTTGTTCTTCAGCAGTAAACATACTGCTATAAAGTGCCTTTGTGCCAGGTAAATAAACTTTATTTGTATTTGTGAAATTGTAGCGGACATTGTATACAATGTAGATTGCAGTTGAATGATTTAAACTTGTTTAGGTGTTTCTTTGATGTACAGAAATATCTTCCTTTTTTTTTCATGAGAGAGCTAGGGCTTACCAGTAAAACCATGGAAATGGGCTTATTGTTAGATAAATAAAGTAAAACAGGTTAAATCAATTTTATTGCCTTACCTGAACCCAATTTAATGAAAGGTGAGGAAGCTAAGAAAAGACCGGTATGACCTTACTGTTGTGGAGTTTTTCTTCTCTCCAAAATGTTAATCAATACCACATGATTATTAGCCTATAGAACAACATTGTAGACATTATCCTATTAAGTATATTATCAAAAATTGATTATAGAGAACTGTACATGAATTATAGATGGTGGTGTCTGAGAATAGTACTTTAGACCTAATAAATGTTGATTTCTTGATCAATTTCTTGTTTTATTACATATAGGAAGGGACTCTTCTATAATATTGTCTGCCAAAGTTATAATATATGTAAACTTTCTCTGCTTGTTTGAAAAAAACCAGTTTATGACTTACAGTGTAAATTATCTCTTTGCTTTATTAATAGCATTGCCCCACAAAGGCAGAAGCCAGAAGGAGTGCAGCCAAAATAGCCCTGATGAATTCTGTATTTAATGAGCACCCGTCACGCATGATTACAGATGACTTCGTAGACCATGCTGTCCGTGATGCTGCTGGATCTTTCCAGGTGAGATATGTAATTCACCTTACCTTTTGAAATAGATGTATACTACTTTCTGATGTTGGCACTTTCTGTGTTATCAAGACTTCAATAGGTCACATTTTTAAAGGTCATGGTGACCTTTTTTTTACCTTTGACCCTCATCAAATTCAGAACCTTTACAATAGTAAACTCAGGAGCACCAAATGTGCATACAATAAACTAAATAGTGATGTATGAGGATTTATGATATATTTACTTTACAACTATCGCAAATAGTTATCAAATTTATACTTATCACTCTTGTTGGCATGGATGGAAGTGTACAATGGGTCTTACTGGTGGTAGCTATATAGGAAACTGGAGCACTTGGAGAAAATCCATTTGGCCAGTCAGGTGACCCCTTACCTTTCCACATCCATTCAGTGAATCAGACCCTGACTGTATAGGTTAACATGCATGATTATTACTTTATGTATGACAGTGAACTAAATATAGTTAAAGTATCATTCCTGATATTGTTTAGTATGTACTTTCCCTTTTCATGCAAATTTTACATCAATATAACATGCTATCACTACTGGAAATACTGTGGAAAATCATGTAGTGTATATATTAGTGATGGAAATGGGTTCCAAAATCATGGCTGATCATTGGCTTTTACAAATCATCACTCAGTGATTGATGAACAATCTTCATCATACATAAAATATTGTAAATGTATCTGGAGTTACTGAAATTCATCAAGTTATCTCCCTTTACATGTAGTGAATCATTTCACTTTTTGGCTTTTCTATTTGGTTTTGGTTGCTTTTTGTAGAATTGAATATTAATGTTGATTTTGTCATCATTTCCACAGGGAGCACCTGAACAGGCAGATAACCCAGCCACAGGGATTGGTGCTTTCCGTTTTATGTTGGAGGCTAATAAAGGTCGTACCATGTTGGAGTTCCAAGAACTTATGACTGTGTTTCAACTGCTACATTGGAATGGCAGTCTGAAGGCAATGAGGGAACGTAACTGTTCCCGACAAGAAGTGTTAGCACACTACTCACATCGTGCTCTTGACGACGATATGCGCTCACAGATGGCACTTGATTGGATAGCGCGAGAACAGGAAGTGGAAGGCATCATTAGCCGTGAATTAGAAATTTCAGAAAAAGAACTGGAAAGTGCCAGATTAGCTGGACGTGAATTACGTTTCTTCAAAGAGAAAAGAGACATTCTGGTTCTGGCATTAAGCCAGATTGGACCTCCAGAAAGTTTGGCATGAAAATAGTGTATGAATTCATTCATGAGCCAAAACATTTAGCACACTCTTCATAAAAGTTGTGCCGCTTTACAGCATGCATTATTGCATCTCATAGATAATTCTTAAGCGTTCATTCTGTAGAAGTAACCTATTAACAGAGTTTTTGGTCAAGATATTTAAAGCTACAGCTGGAGGGTGTCCCTTGTACATGTGTAACTTATTCCTTAAATCTCTAGTGTAATTTTGTGTTAACAGAACACTTTTAAGTTAAAACATTTCAGATGAAAATGGTGACACTTAATTTACAATTTTATGTATGTTGTATTTAGGTTTTATTTATTATTATCTTGAAATGTACACTTGTACTAATGAGATTTTTTTTTGTCCTGTTTTATGTTATTACAAGCCTGCCAAAATCAAGTGGTACAGACATGTAATTGGTTCTTAGTCTGGTTGTATTATTTATTAAGACCTTTGTTTGTCATGTTCATCATATTGTCTGAGTCTCTAGAGAACAAGAAATTAGGTAGCAAAATGTATTGGTCAGTTACCAGTGTCATAGCTGACCGGGAGTAATGAGTAATATTAATTTATTGGCTTGGATAGGATCTGAAAATTCTCCAAATAAACCTGCTCAACAAGTGTTTGGGCTATGTAGTTATGGACTGTTTGCAAATGTTACCTGTCCAAAGACATGGAGTTGGTGTTTATTTTGACTCTTGGAAAGATTTCAATTTTGTAATACGATATTTTTTATTTTTCAATTATTTTATGCACTCATAAATATTTAACTACCCTCTTGTACTGTATCACAAATTAAGAATGCTCTTTTCATCTTAAAAGGCATAGATATATTCCTGCTTTTCATTACTTACTGCTTACAGCAATGCAAACATCAATAAACTTCAGAATACAAAAAATTATCATACCCCAAAGTTTGTGAAAGAATAGTTCTTCCAACTTTCCAGTATACAATAAAACTGGGGTTTCTTGATTAACAACAATACATATTCTACATCTCTAGAAAAGAAATATACACATAGACTATTCTGTAACTGTGAAACAGGCTTTTTGTATACTGTGATATATTGCTCATACCAGCTATACTTAATTCATTCTGTATCTTACATGCCTTTTGTTTGATAAAAACATATTTTTATGTTATCAATTTTGTAATACTGTCTGAAAATGATGAAAAGTTCACTATTTCAGATGATGCATTAACTAAATATACAGTAAACTTTGAAAATAGCGAGGAAAAACAAGTACACTTACAAAATGTCTAAATTTTCTTCACCATAATGGTCCTCAGAAATCCTGTATAGTAGAAATCAGCCTCCTAGGTACTTAAGTGTATGGCATATACTTCAGTGCTTATACATGTATATACAGTACAGTGGATATAAACCATACCTTTGATAGATTTTTGTTGTAACAACACCAGGATTTTAATCAGATCTGTAAATATACCAACCCTCATGTCATTGTTACTGTGGAAGTATTATAAAGAAAGTATATTTTTGATATAGAGATAAATATATTTCACTCAAAACTGACTCACTTACCGTGTCATGAAAATGTTTTGCAGAATTCTGTGATTTTCTATGTACAGGTATATTCTCTTTCGCTGCATTGAATATGAGGTGTTTTTTTTATATGAACAATGTAAATGATAAAGCACATGAAACTGTCCATTTGAAATACTCAAGAGGAAATTTAACATGGAAATTGTGTGTAAATCTGTCATTGGATTGTATTATTTAGCTGTAAACTCAGAAAATGTATAAACAATATACTGTATACCGATGATTTACATGTAGATTGTAGATGTGCTGTAACTATGCATACTTATTTGAACTACTGGAAAGAATGCCCCACAAAATCAAGACCACACTCTAAATATGTGTAGGTTAGATATTGAATAATATAATTCCATTTTGAAAAGATGTAATGAAGAAGACATTATCACACAGTAGCAGAACAAATTTCATGCCACAATATTTTAGTATCATTATATTAACATAGAAAGAAAATGAGATGAAAAATTTGCAAAAGTAATAAAGCATTTGGAGCCATGAATCTAAAAATGAAAACATATAAAAAATAATAAAATCAATCAGGGTTGTATGATATCCAATCAAAATTGATTCAAGCTCAAGAAAAAATTTGTTGCTGACCCCAATATCTAACAGTGCTTTATTACAACACTGGTAAAATACTAACTGCAATATATACCGCTCGGCTTGATGTAACTTCACTTCAACTTGATAGGTTGAGCATCAGAGGCAATGAAATAGATAAGGATGTCTATTACAATAGTATTAACATCTACATAACAAACAGTCTTTGTTTTGTTAAACAAAAGTTTGATGGTTATCATTGTAATTTCATCTCAGTAATCTGGCGTGAAAATATATGTTCTTTTAACTGTTTTATATCTACAAGATAAAATATCATTCAGACATTATTCAACTGTTGAAACAGGTAAACCATTTTTATAATACAGTTTTTTCAAAAAGTCATTTTTCAAAAGGGCTTCCACGTGTATATGGTATTCTTCTTGTATCTGTATGAATGTACATGTTACTCTTTTTCACAAAACATGAACCAGGCTGCCTTGTAAGTGCTTTTCATCCAACTTACTGTGGTTGTTAGAAGTCTGGAAAGATTTCAACTGTCTTCAGTTTATGATAAAAGGATATTTAATTTCAGTGTTGTAGCTAAAGTTTCAGTGTTGTTGCCATGGTTTCAGTGCTGTTGCCTTGATTTCAACATTGTATCCCTGATTTCAGGGTTGAAGCCAGGGTTTCAATGATCTCAAGGTTACAGTGTTGGTACCATGGTTTCAGTGTTGTTATCAAGGTTTCATTGTTGTAACAATGGTTTCAGTGTTGTTTTTAAGGTTTCAGTGTTGTAATCATGGTTTTAGCATTGTATCCCAGGTTTCAGTGTTGTAGCCATGGTTTTAATGTTGTTACTATGGTTTCAGTGTTGTTATCAAGGTTTCATTTTGGTAACCATGGTTTCAATGTTGTTACCATGGTTGTAAAAATTTCAAGGTTTCAATGTTGTCACCATTGTTTCAGAGTTGTTACCATGGTTTCAGTGTTGTAGCCATGGTTTCAGTGTTGTTACCAAGATTTCAGTGTTGTTACCAAGGTTTCAGTGTTGTTACCATGGTTTCAGTGTTGTTACCATGGTTTATCTCTTTAAGTGTTCATTGTAGATTCCTTACCCCTACTATTAAGACAGTGAGTGTGCTTAAGAAAGGATATGTTCTGATTGTTGCTTGACAAGATTGTTGAATCAAGACAATGGTGTTCCTTCAACTCTGTAAGCAGAGTAATTTGTTATTTAGGCCCATGAAGAGGAATGGAGAACAAGATAGACAAAATATTGCAATGTGTTGCAGTATTACCAGTATATTCCGCTAGTGTGAAAGGGATGTCTCACATTGGATGTTGGAGGGATGTGTCACAGCAGGTATGATAAAATTGGTGACGTCTAGTGAGTGAGGGATTTCAAGTGTTGGAGAAGATGATCAGATGTGGGAAGTTAGATTTGGGATTTTCATGTTTGGGGTAGGAGAATGTTATAACTCTCTAACAAAGTGCAATAAAAGTCACTAATATTATGGTAATAGCAACAGAAAAAGTATAAAGGGTAATACGTCGATCAAATTTGTTATTATACTTGTGTACATAGATAATGTAAATTGGAATTCTCATCCTACATGTTGAAGATATGGGAGAAGAGATCTGACTATAGTTATATACTAGAGGTAACTTGTTGTCTTATTAGTTTGTTGTTGTGTTATGTTGAACAGTTAGTGTTTAAATGTATTGTAAAAAATAGGTTAACCATGTTCAATAGTCCATGAATTTTTTTCTGACATGTGAAGGGAGATAACTCAATATTTTGAAGGTGATTTGAAAAGTGATTGTCAATTGTAACCAGGAAACTTTCGTCTGTGTTTGCTGATCACAATAATTTATGCTTTTAAACAAGGTTTGTTACTATGCTAGTTGAAATACTTTTTCGTGAATACTATTGTTTTTGGTTATGAAAAAGTGAGACATTGTAGAAGGTTGTTGAATATTACCAGCTACAAAATTGAAAAATAGTTTCTATGTACAAATTGTGTAAACTTTCAAAAGTATCCCGGTTTGTAAAGATTGTCTTATATACACCTTATTTTAATAGGTTTGGAAAGAAAGAATCATGTGATTAGCTTGTAATGAATCTTCAGTTTTTAAAGTAAATGTGACCACATTTATCAATACATTCTACATTCTCCATTACTTTCTTCTTCTTTCCCATCATATTTGGAAATAGATGAAATCTTGTTGTGAAGAATTCTAGGGAAAAAAGTACTTCAAAATGTGTTTAATCAAGATGTGGATGTGTAAACAGGATATTGGGCTCAGAACTATTATTATAGTGCTAACATATGTATTTGTATAAAAACTTAATATCATGCTTCATTTCAAAAGCATTAATTAAAGTGAAGTTGCTTTGCATTTATGTATGGACCTTAAAATGTTTGCCAGGGCTTTTTGATGTACTTCATTATTCTGCTCTGAGAAATCATTTTAGATCAAAACAGCATTATAGACTTCTGAATGAATACACATACAAATGATGCTGACTGTTGTAATTCCATATAGAGTATATAGAGTTGGAAGTATTTTAAACACTTTCAGACTGATAACTGTACATTCTCATGCATGTGATATTTGTTCATTATAGATATCTATTGTTGTCTGTGTTGACGCAAGATGTCGGCTTTTGTAAGTTGTATACAAAGCTTCTCATGTTATTTGGCATAATATAACAAATTAATAATCAATAAAATGATCTTGCCATAGGTAATGTTTGTTCTAGTTTTCATTGATAACTTACCTTGTCCCTAGACTGGCATTAGGCTGTGGTACATCTTCATCATCTGACATATCTGTTAACTTTGTGTTCAAATTAATTGGGCATTATCAGATCAAGGTAATTAATGTTCTATGGGTAGAAACCAAGGATGCACCTATTTTGACCTCTGATTTTCAAAGGCATGCATTTCTATTATGTCTGTGTATTCTGTAACATCAGTGGGAACATGGTAGAAAATATTTTATTGAATTGTTATATGTTGATTAAGACAGTTTTATGCATTAAATGTTTAATCACATGCACACATTTTCATCCACAAGTCATTGTTTTGATGGGCCAATCAAGTTTCAAGACTTGACTTACCGGCCAGTACTCCATACAAATTGTTGTCTTAACAAATGAGGTAAAGTACCTGTGGTTAGATGAGAAATCTGTAAATAAAATGGTCAACGTGATACCAAGATGTGCCACACGATCATAATATATCAAATTATGTTTCATTGATGCAACAGGTTGGGAATTGTGCATTATGTTGTACATCTATACAGTGACATGGTGCCACCCATTGTATGATCTTTACAAGTTCTTTATCAGTTGGACTTTTTCCCTTTTTCTAAATGAAAAAATAAGCATAGCGAGGATTTAATGGAAACCTACCAGGCACAACAATTTTCAGAATTAGTGGTCTTGTGCTTTCACTATCAAAAATGAAGTTGGCTGAAAAGGGACAACCCATAAATGAAAATTGAAAATAATGCATACTGTACCTCTCAGGAAATGATGATAATAAATAAATCATGAAATTCCAAATGTAAAGTCTTCCCCATAATTTATTTCTGATCAATCTCAAAATGATGCATCACAAGGAACTACATATGAAATTTGAGAAGGTGGCACAGTGGTAATGCACATGCCTTTCACCTAGCTGTTTGAGGTTTGATTTGAGACGGTAGGGGGTCACCTGCCAAACATCAGTTTTCTGTGGGAACTCTGGTTTCTTCCAAAAGTAAGACCCTTTTCACACTTCCGTCCAGTTCAATAAGAGTTATAGTATCAATAGATATAACTTGTTTTGCGATTGTTAAAAAATAAAGATTATTTACATGTTTATTTTTATGTGGTATTCAGAAGTGACAATAACACACAAATTTTCATTTTCTAAATCCAAGAAAACCAATGTTCAGCATTTTTTTCTGATCAGTTAATGGAGTGGCATCACTAAGGTCTAGGGCAGCCTACATATATACATGTATAATATCTGATGATTAGTTATTTATACTGAGAATTCCATGATAATTTTTCTAAAAAGAAAAGTGTCATTGATGAAAGATATTTATAAGGTATTCTTATAAACAATTTCACTGTGCATTTACAGAGAAAATGTAAGATACACTACTTTTAGGTTATACACGTTAATATGAAATGAGGATTTATGATGATACATGCTGCGTAAACCGAAAGTAGATTTACTTCCCCTTAGTCATCGTCATTCTTGCCACGTCAAGCGAGGTCAGCACTGTTCCAAGATGGCTTCCTCCCTGAGAGAGAAGCAAATCCTGGCTCTAAAACGTATGATCAACTTTAACCAGCCTCCTACGAAAGCAACATCATCGGAACCACAATGGAAAGTGTTAGTGTACGATCGGTTTGGCCAGGATATAATTTCACCATTAATGACGGTGAAAGAGCTTCGAGATATGGGGGTAACGCTCCATTTGAACTTGCATTCAGATCGAGATCCTATTCCCGACGTGCCGGCAATCTATTTCGTGTTACCCACAGATGACAACATACAAAGAATATGTAGAGACTTTGGGAATCAATTGTACGAATCGTATTTCCTGAATTTCATATCGGCCGTCCCACGACAAAAATTAGAAGACATCGCCAGCGCTGCCATTCAGCAGAACTGTGTTCATCAAGTTTCCAAAGTATTTGATCAATATTTGAACTTCATTTCCCTGGAAGACGACATGTTCGTACTAAGGAACCAGGAAAGGGACAGCATATCGTACTATGCCATAAATAAAGGAGATGTAAGGGACACAGACATGGAATTTATTATGGACACGGTTGTTGACAGTTTGTTCTGTGTGTTTGTTACCCTTGGTGTTGTGCCAATCATTAGATGCCCAAGAGGTAATGCAGCAGAAATGGTTGCTGAAAAACTGGATAAAAAACTTCGTGAAAATCTACGAGATGCACGTAACAGCTTTTTTACATCAGATAGTATACAAACAGGTCAATTTAGTTTTCAACGCCCACTGTTGGTGTTATTAGACCGTAATCTTGACTTGGCTACAATGTTGCATCACACATGGACATACCAGGCTCTAACACATGATGTATTCAATCTTCAGCTTAATAGGGTTGAGGTTGAAGAAACTATAGAGGCAAAATCTCCAGGTGGTGCAGCAACGAAAAAGAAGAAAAGCTATGACTTAAACCCTACTGACCGCTTTTGGCAGGCCCAAAAAGGCAGTCCATTTCCAATGGTAGCAGAAGCGGTACAAGAAGAACTTGATTCATACAGGGCACAAGAGGATGAGGTTAAGAAACTGAAGGCTGTCATGGGCCTGGAGGGTGAAGATGAATCTGCCATTAGTCAGCTGTCAGACACAACAGCAAAGCTTACATCCACAGTCAGCAACCTTCCAGAACTACTGGAAAAGAAACGTTTAATTGACATGCACACTAACATTGCCACGGCAGTACTTGGTCAGATCAAGGCTAGGAAACTAGATGTTTATTTCGAGACAGAAGAAAAGCTGATGAGTAAAGCTGTCTTGGACAAGTCTCTGATGGACATGATTTCTGATCCTGACTCTGGGACACCTGAAGACAAAGTGAGGCTGTTTATCATAGCACTGATATGCGGGCCTCCCATGAGTGAAGCAGAGATTGACCAATATTGTGTAGCGTTGCAGGGAGCTAACTGTGACATATCCCCAATCACTTACATGCGGAGATGGAAGGCATACACCAAAATGACAGCTGCTCCTAGTCAGTATGGGGGAGGAGGAACTAAGACAGTCGGTATGTTCTCCAAACTCATGAATACTGGCTCACAATTCTTAATGGAGGGTGTTAAAAACCTGGTCATTAAGAAACACAACCTGCCTGCTACAAGAATTATTGATGCGTTAATGGAAATGAAAACACTTCAAGATGTGGAAGATTTCAGGTATTTTGACCCAAAACTTCTCAGAGCTGATGCATCTACTGTACCCCGAAACAAGTCTCCATTCCAGGAGGCCTATGTGTTTGTGGTAGGGGGAGGTAACTATATAGAATACCAAAATCTGATGGATTATGTAAAGACAAAGTCGAGTGCTACAGGGCAGAGGAGGATTGTATATGGATGTAGTGACATCTCTAGCGCCTCTCAGTTCTTGAAACAACTAGGCCATTTAGGCAAAGAAATGGGATAGATAGAGGCAAATCAATCATGTTGTAATATTAACCTTCAAACATCAATACTAGATTGCTATATGCCTGCCAAGATTGAACATATTGAACATAAGGCAGAATTCAGAACGGTTACAATTTGTTTTGGATTGAATATGTCTTATACAACGTTTATTTATTACAAAGTGATGGAAAATTAGGAACTGTGTATTGAAAATTTTCTTAATCTTTTTAAGATACATATTAAAACAATTGCATGATATTGAAGGCAGTGAAATTACATCATTAAGTAAAAACACATTGACAGTATTAAAGTGTTTAATACATTTTAATAAATTTATGTTTTACTGTGACGTATACATGTACAATGTGTTGAAAATTTACGTGATTGTCGCTTTTTGATTTGAATATTGTAAATGTGGAAAAATATGTGAATTAGATTAAAACAGCAGACTAATTAATCACTTCCTACCAAAAATAATGGTTGTTACTTTTTGGCTTTAAATTTTCTATGAGTTATTAGTTTGTTTAGGAAATAAGAGGGATATTTTTGGCCCTAGTGAAAATACTACATATGATAATGATAATACAATATTCTCTGATTTGCCTGTAACAAAAAGAAAAATTGTCCATAGCATTTACCATGCAGTTTCTATACATACAGATTGGTGCAAATAAGAATCTTTCCATTGCAATATCCATATATAATGTATGTACCAGCATAAAGTAAAAATTCTTACAATGTTTTGCATTAATAATAAATAGATGTGTTCTCCACGCTGTAGTTCAAAAATATCCAAGTTTGTTTGATATTGTGCAGTGCTGTACAATGTGTATAAGCTTGTATTAATTTGTTTTTGAATTTAGATCAAAACTTCATAGGAATACTGGTACTTTTCTCTCTTTAACTGTATCAGAGTAGGAAAAAATTGGAACAGTGATGTGACATCACAAATATTTACTTGTCACTGTAACAGCCGGGGGAAGACACTGAATTGGGTACTCTACATGAAATACTGGCTAGAATGAGTGAAGACAAAAACACTTATTTATTAACTGAATATGTTCTTGTAAAAATTGTGTGATTGTTGATTAAAGGAAAGAGGAGGATACACTGTATATTTCTGGACTTATTCTTTCTGTAAAACTACACACACCTGGGACCAGTAACCATATATACAGAAAAATAATCAAATTGTGTGTTTCCTCTTTTATTCTTTTTAGCTCACCTGGTCCAAAGTACCAGTGAAGTAGATTATGCCATACCCGGTTGTCTGTCGTCCATCGACTTTTCCAACAAATTGATACTAGTCATAAACAATCAAGCTGATTTTGACCAGATTTAATTAGGAGCATCCTTGGGGAAGGTTTTGTATAAATGGTTGGTGTCGGGCCCCTTGGGGCTGTAGGAGCAGTGCCCAAAAGGGGAAATTTTGCAAGTTCTTTAAAATCTTACTCATGTATGGATGATTGCATTTTGGAAAAATTTGCTCTGAAGAATTCTTTGGTGAAGGGCAGTTAATTTTGTACTAATAGATGGGATCTATCGTGACCCCTGGGGTGAAAGAGACTGGGGAAATGGAGCAATTTTTTCAAAATATTTCTTCTGTTAGAATAATTCAATTTTGCCCAAATTTGACCTGAATTATCTTTGAGTGAAGTAAAATTTAAATACTTTATCTTAATTTTTATTGAGGCAATTTCAGCAAACTAAATCGGGTGAGCAATACAAGCCCTATAGGGCCTCTTGTTATGTATGTACCGGATACAGGGAATTTTAACTTTCTAACATACATATTTATTCTTTATTGCGATTACCATTGAATGCACAATCTGTAACTGTTTGGTGCTTTCTTCTCTTAATATTTTAACATCTTAACACTTTTTGGTTGGTGGGAATAATGTCATATGATTGCAATGATAAATACAGTATGATAGCAACGAACCTTGTTTTGAAAAATATGTAATGAATTACCTCCCCTTGAATTTTTTATATGGCTGGCTAGAAAATGTGAAATTTTGACAGTGCATGTAATTCTTGCACAACGATGCATTGAACTGAATTCTTTTTATGTCACCTTTTACTTTAGTTTTGCATATTTGCTTTGATATGTTCATGTTATTTGACCATAATGTCACCTATAACTATCGTGTTTCGTCCGTCTGCTGTGAACCATGCTGTAGCGTTCAATTCAAATGATTTCTCAATAACCAAAAGACCATGGGTTCTTATATTTGGCTGGTAGCATGCCGAAATGAAGGACTATCAAATTTGTTAAAATGAATTACCTTGACCCACTTCAAGGTCACGGGTCAAATGTGCAGAAATCTTTTAACGACTTTCCAAAAGGCCCAGGGTGCTGATATTTGGCGTGTCGCTTGTATGGAAGAAGGCTACCAACTTTGTCAAAAATTGACCTTAACTTATTTTCAAGGTCACAGGGGTCAAATGTGTTGAAACCTTTAAACGACATCTTCTCAAAAACCAACAGCGAAAGGTGCTGATATTGGGTCTGTAGCATACTGGTATACAGGGCTACTAAGTTTATTCCTATTATTGGTTTTGCCTCATTGTCAAAATGTGTTTGAAATCTCCAAACTAATCCTCAATAACCAAAAGACACAGGATGCTGATATTGGGCTTGTAGCATACTATATAAAGGGCTTTCTACTCCCCTCGTAGGAATGAATGGATATTGTCCCGATTTGAGCTGGATCATTCTTTGGTGAAGTGTAATCAATATTGTATAAACTTTAGATCTAACCAACATGGACAGCTTTCCACGATGCTGTACGAGAAGCGTGATGATTTTATTTCTATATTATAAATATTCCATTCCCAGCATCCAAAACCTATATGTTTTACTTCTCACAGTTGCTCCTATTATCACGATTTTCGTCCAAGACGTCGTCATGTGACAGGAAAACTCATAACCTCACGGTTTCAAAGGGTGAAGGTTGTTGAAAATTATACTGACGTTTTTGGTAATCGTAGAGATTTCTTTGTGCGGTATTGCTGAATGAAGATGGACGTGTTTGATGCTCATCAGTTTGCCCGTTGGTTCAGTATACCTTGTCCACATTTCAGATCGTGACATTACTTATTGGATTAACCAAAATCGGCAAGGCGGTTGTCGTCGATGAAGCAGAAGACGCTTACTTTTCCGGGGCATCTGGTATTCGTTTTGTGCTGTTTCACAATTATCCGTGTAAATCTTTCTTTGGTTCATATTTTGCCCTAGTTTTACTAAATTTGAGTTTGGGTTAGGATTATGTTCACATGCGGATATCTTCTTGATTTCTTATTCAAATTGTATATGAATATTGATATCTCTGTTTCTTAAGGGGGATTTTTAAATTTTATAAACAAGTAATTAAGAACAAGAAGATCCAACTTATAGAGAACAATTAAAAACAGCAGTGGACGCCGTCTGGGATCTCGTTGTTTCTTTGAGTTATCTCCCTTATAACATTTGCTTATGTCGAGAAACGTCTACCTAATCCAATTTCCCATATAACTAAGAGTTTTTTTCCAGACATGTTTTTGTGGTGCATTTGTGAGCTTTCTTCGTGTTGTTTCATAACTTCAATGGTTACATGTATGCTTAATATGGGTCGGCACAATGACTGTCCAACATGGATGTTATTTTCAAAGGCTACTTCTCATTCTTCTTCTTCAACTTCCGGTGCGGAACACTTATATGCTACTGAATTTGGTCACTTTGACCTTTGCAACAAGGTCAGGTTAGTGTAAAATTCCATGGACTATAACTTTGAATTGCCAGATATATTTTTGATGAAACTTTAATTATATACGCATCACTTACAGGCAATGAGCATTACATTCGAATTAGGGCCTTCACATCAAATTCAAATGCAAAATTTGCAATACATTCATTTTCAGGCAAAAACATTTGAACCGTCGGAATATCTCGGTAAATCTGATACAACTGCATCAATTACAGGGGGTAAGAAGTGCAATTGAAATTAGATCACTATGGCATTCATCTCAAGGTCAAAGGAGGTAAAATAAGTTTTTATCCCTTTTTTCTCAGTTGAAGAAATAGAGAAGTCGAGATGAAACTTGAAACACACCTTCGTCACCCATAATCGGGTAGGTGCATGGTGACCTTCATCTTTTCAGTTACTAATGTTATATAACGTACATTTCTTTGAATATATTCTCCTTAACATCACTTTGAAACCTTTAGAGATATGTTGAAAAACTCCCAACTCCCCTGCTTACATGTGAATATCGTCAGTTCCGCAGTCGATATCCAAATCAAATTCTAGATATAAAGTTTATATTTGAACTTTCTTAAACAAGTATGATCAAACTCCAAATGGCCAAAAGATGAAAATAGGAGATATATTCTTGTCAAATAAGGACATATTATCATAAAAACTTTTAATGAAATGATTATAAACTTAATCATAACAGATCCGACCGTATTGTACATGGATAATGTGCTGTGATTTAATTTTGATGCAGTGTTATTATTATTTGGTAAAGTCTTATGCTAGGGGAAAATAACGTGTTTATTTGCAACACGTTTTGTATTTATAATAAAAGATAAAATCAGTATATTTCAAATGTTTTCCTCTGTCCTAATGTGAAACTGCTGTCGAACACCTTCAACCAGGAACAAACTGTCAAATTTAAAAGCTTTCTTTAAACTTACAACACGAATTAGCTGGTTCACATCGAATTGTAATTTCACGTGAATCACAATACGACATCGACAAATTGAAACACGATGAAAGGAATTCCATACGTTATGTAATAGTGTGAAATACACGGGGAAAACTTTGTTGAATTACAAGACTTAAGTATAATAGAACGTTATATAAATGTACAGCACGTGGACAGGAGAAGCAGACAGACACTACTCTGTTCAATTCACCAAGGAAATTGTTAAACTGACAAATGTTACATAATCATAAATATGGTTCGTCCGCTGAAAGGTGGTTATATAAATAAACTAGTGCCGCAGTGAGAATGTTGTACAGGTACCAGGAAGTCTTTCTAACTTTCGTCTGGGTGTAAAATTACTTTAAGTTCAAGTTTTTGCGTAAGTTAAGGAATGTTTCCTATACCGCTTCCCTATTGATGCTTTAGTCTTCGGACTGCCAAAATCTTCATCTTTATATTTAGATATGAATCACTCCAGAGTTCCACAGTGATTTTGTATTAATGAAATAATCATGAAAACATCGATTCCCCTAACCCGCCTCTCTCCATCCTCCTCCTCTTCGCATGGTCATCGGCCAGTTCTGTTGTAAATCATTAAATGTTAACAGACAGCTTATGTCGGAGCACATACACTTTAGACAAAATCGACTTTTGTCGTGGTATAGGCGTGGCAGGTAATAGGTAATATCGACACAATGCTGAACAATTAACTGCGTCCCAGTTACGGGTAGGTGTTTATATACAGACCAGTAGGTTGCTTTGTGTACCGATAGGAGTTTTGGTCGGTTCTACTTGACTGGTCACGGTATGCGATGATGTATGAACCTAGATATAATACCAATACAATGTAAAGGTAAAAACTAGCGACACACAGACAAATTAAAGGTCTGCTTGGTCGACAGACGTTTAGAACGAGTAGTGGGAGAAAGGATATTGACATTTGGTGTTAAACACACAAGTAAAATCAAGATGGCGGGCGTCGGAATGGAGGTTGTACGTAAAGTTATGAAGACTCCAGAAAACATCAGAAATGTGGCTGTAATTGGCGGTACAGACAGTGGTATACTGCCGTTGATGGATGGACTCAACAGGACGGCTAGTCCCAGTGTGTCCACAGAGGACGGTAGTCGGTGTAAGAAGTATGATGTTAACCCCATGACAGCTAATCTAACGTGCCTTTATCACAAGTACACTCCAGCCGATATTCCAGGTGTGGAAACCCTGAGTGCAAAAAAGGAATTCGTTATCAACATTATGGATACTCCAGGTAGTGTGGACTTCTCGGCGGAAGTGGACACCACCTTACGAATGACGGACGGAGCCGTGATACTGGTTGATTGTATTTCTGGTGTCACATTGGATACTAAACTGGTTTTAAAACAGGCAATTCGGGAAAGGGTTAAACCGCTCCTTTTCGTTAACAATATTGACCGAGCTATCACTGAGTACAAATTATCACAAGAAGACTTATATCAGACAATTCACAGTGTGGTGGAAGCCGCCAAAGGTGTTGTGGCAACATACAGCGATGAATCTGGGCCAATGGGAAGCGTTCAATTCTCTCCACTCAAAGGTAATGTGTTGTTTGGATCTGCCTCACAAGGATGGGGGGTCACATTAGGAGAGATAGCAGCTAAACAGGCAGAGAAGTTGAAAGTGACACCGAGCGTCCTTCTCGGTAAATTATGGGGCGATAATTTTTATAACCCATCACAAAAAAAGTGGAAGAATGAACCAAGCCAAGATTTTACTCGAGCGTTCAACATCTTTGTCCTTGACCCCGTTTTTAAGTTGTTTGGAGCATCCGGAAATGCACAGGGAAGCGCCCTACCTGATTTGATTGAAAGCCTCGGAGCGACCTTGACTTTGGACAACAATGAAACAAACGATAGACAAAAAGCTCAAGAAATGATAAGCCAATGGCTACCTATATCAAACTCACTGTTGACAATGATCGTTCTTCATCTCCCGTCACCACTAACAGCTCAGGGATACAGAACAGAGGTGCTGCTCAAGCGTCAGACTGACGCCGTTGGTACTTCTGCCATTAGAACGTGTGATCCTAAGGGTCCATTGATCATGTTTGTATCAAAATGGTTCCAGATCGGACAAACAGATATTATGTATGCAGTTGGTCGTGTGTTTTCTGGGTCAATTGTGTCTGGATCAGAAATAAAAGAACCTCAACGAAACACAAAAGTCACTGAGACCTCCATGGTAATAGGGGATAATATCTGCCCCGTTCCAGAAGTCAGTTGTGGTAACATTTGTGCAATTCGTGGCGTTGAACAGAGGATCGCGAAAATCGGGGTCGTCACCTCTCACAGTAGCCCGGTGGTGTTTAATGACATTAGACCCAGTGTAAGTCCAGTAATTCAACTGGACTTAGACCCGAAAAATCCTGCAGATGCTCCTAACCTTTTGACCGAACTTAAAGTGTTAATGAAACTCTACCCGATATTAGAATGTTCCATAGCGGCTTCTGGACTTCATATTCTCACGGGAACTAGTGAACACCTCCTGATGAGATGCAAGACGTACCTGGAAAAACAGATTGTTCTGAAACCAACTAAACTGCACGTGGCTTACCGAGAAACCATAACTAAGGAACCGGACATGCTATGTACAGCTGTTAGCCCAAGCAATAAGAAAAACGAAACCTCTATCAAGACGAAGCCTCTTCCGAATGGTTTATGTGAATGCATCGAGGAAGGATTTATTACAGCGGATCAGGATCCTATAGCGAGGGCTGACTACCTGGCAAAAAACTTTGGATTCGATGCAAATGAGGCCGAGAGATTTTGGTCTTTTGGCCCAGGTGATAATGGTTTGAATCTTCTTTACTACAGCTCGAAACAGGTTCGCGACCAAGGACACGTCAGGGACAGTCTTATATCGGGCTTCCGATGGGCCACACGAGAAGGAATTTTGTGTGAAGAAGCAATGCGTGGTGTAAGGATCGAGATTCGATACGCCAAATGGCAGCTCTCAGAAGACTCTGACGCTGTCGAAGCAATCCGTCGAGCAATACAGGGGAGTGTCATTGCCGCATCACCACGTCTGATGGAGGCTCTATCTCGCGTCGAGGTCGTCTGCTCCCAGGATGCCACACTGGCTGTTAGAGAGATACTAACGAATAGACAGGGGAGACTTCTCGAGGAACGCCGTGTGGGCCGAACACCGATGTCGATCGTTAGTTGTTACATTCCAGGAGAAAAATGTTTAGGGGTCACCAGTGAATTAGGAAGCTCCGCCAAAAGCGTCCAAGTTGCATTTGATCACTGGGAAATAATGAACGGCGACCCTCTTGATCCGGAATCGCCGGCTGCAATGGTCGCCATGGAAACTAGGGCTAGAAAAGGATTACCGTCTGATATTCCAGGATCACACTCGAGTTCCGCTTGATTACCATTAATGGAGTCCTGGGGCCAATTATTTTCTTTCATGATAAGGACAATGAGTTCTCATAAAACCGCCCGATGTATTGTTCATCGTCAGTGGATATAGAATGTGTATGCATGATCAACGGTTATCTTTGTCTGAACTTAATTTTTACACAGGAATCCGGATAAATTGTCAGAAGTTGAAAGGATATCACAATGTGTTCATATAGACTTTGGAAATCGTTAAAACGGATTCATATATGCGAGGAAATTTCATGTTGAAATTATATACGTATGTCTTTACCTGTGGAACCCGTATTTACACCAATATGACGAGTACTGAGGATGCAGATAATTTTTCTCGGGTTCGTGTGTTTGTACTGTACTTCTGTGAAGCTCCAATTTTTTTTCGATTTAACCTCAATATGTTCCCAAACTAACAAACTTTCAAAGTGGTTATCGCCTGGTTTGTGCGATTGAAGGGTTATTGACAAAAAAACTTGTATTGTGTACAAATTATGCTTCGTAACCTACTATCTAGTATGAGACGAGATCGACAAAATCATGATAGGTGTGTGACTGCTAAGTGTCGTGTCATTTGTAGACGATTTACTAAACAGATGTTACTCAGAAATACTTAATCTATCTCACTTTGTAAATTATAAGACACAACATGATTTATTACAGCTTGGTTTTTACATAAACGAATAAATTGATAATTGTTTATCAGACAGTGTTCTATGTGTGTGGGATATATTTGTTATTTTATACTGTTATCGCCAAACTAATGTTTATATTGTAATATGTCGAAACGAGACGGAAGAGAAAAAAATCAAAATTATTGCAGTGTGCATTACTGCACTTTGAATATTTTCATGCAATAAAGATTATTATCATAGAAAATAAGAGCATTCGTCCTTTGATGATTTCTCATAATCTAATATCACAGGTACAAGGGAACCTTTCTTTATGCTACATGGCATCAAGGACTCGAGAAAACGTGTTCATCTTGATTTTAAAGGTATTGGGCGAGGGATCTGAGAATAGCTCAGAGAGTGTGGAAATAATGTCACAGGGACCTGAGACTAATTCTGAAGGTGTCGAAATAATGTCACAGGGACCTGAGAATAGCTCAGAGAGTGTCGAAATAATGTCACAGGGACCTGAGACTAATTCTGAAGGTGTCGAAATAATGTCACAGGGACCTGAGAATTATTCTGAAGGAATCGAAATAATGTTACAGGGACCTGAGAATAGCTCTGAGAGTGCTGATATAATGTCACAGGGACCTGAGAATAGCTCTGAGAGTGTCGAAATAAAGTTACAGGGACCTGAGACTAATTCTGAAGGAATCGAAATAATGTCACAGGGACCTGAGAATAGCTCAGAGAGTGTGGAAATAATGTCACAGGGACCTGAGAATTATTCTGAAGGAATCGAAATAATGTCACATGGTCCTGAGAATAACTCTGAGAGTGTCGAAATAATGTCATAGGGACCTGGGAATAGTTATTGAGAGTGTTGATATAATGTTACAAAAATTTGACATAAGTTGTCCATTCGCTTTGATAAGTTTATCTGAAAGCCATCGGAAAGACTGTAACTTTAGATAAAGACTTACTTATACAATGATTTATCCGTTGTGATGGCATTAACTATTGTTTTAAATGACATAACTTTGTACACAAACATTATATAGTATACAGCGTATGGTATTTTGTTTGCTTGCTAGGTATTTTTTGCTTGTCTGTAAAGATGCAATTTACATCGACTGTTAATGCCATAACAAGACAGTTCATTACTTGAATTTACATTCCCTTTCAACAACTTCATAAAAAAATCCAGTCCCAATAGTATAATCAGCATTTTTGAAGGCGAACATCGGTATTTCCACAATACTGACGCCATAATGGTCACGTGCTGAATGGCATTTATTACATAATAAATTGCATCTCTCTGATTAATTTATATAGCGGCATCGTCGTGCAAATGTAAATATTAGATATTATTACCTAATATTTCTGTCAACATTTTCATTTTACCATCACTATAGAAATATCTTTCATAAAAATCTAAATCGATAGGTGTTCCTCGGACTTGGGTATATCTAATTTTGCTCTGACGCGGTTGGTATGTGTTTTTCGTGGTCCTCTGTAGGGCCGTGGATGTCGTGAAATTTCGGATGTATACGTACCTAGGTTTGTCACTATACCACAGGAGATAAAATAAGTAAGGTTGATATAGGAAACAGATTAATTTTCTTGTCGTCACCAACAGCTTCTAGGAGAACTTTTGGGGAAGTGATATATATTCGGTATCTTGTGGAGTTCACTGCTACTAGTTGGCTAAATTGTCCGTTTTAAATACAAGGCACATAGGTAGAGGAGTGTGTCACAATTAAATGTCTTTTTCACTTCCTTATCCTTTATGTCATATAGAACAACTCTACGATATATATGTTTTCGACATAGCTACACTAACGAGCTGTATTACATGACAGCAGTCACCTTACAATATATACACAATGTGTTTAGACCGTATGAGAGCTATTTTTAAAATGTAAATATTGACTCAGATGAAAATGATGGCAGATCGAGTCAGTCACTTAAAGTCGAGTTTTAAATTCATTTGAACACACAAAGTCTCCGGTCATTTCACTGTACTATTCAACTGAAATAGTCCGCCCGTTGTGAGGGACTTTACTCTAAATTCCTAACCATTTCCCGTACGTACATGCAGTCAGCAAGTGTGTCATGTAATTCAATGTCTTGAAACTGTTAAATTTGGTGAAATAAAGAAATAATATTTTGGCAACTTCCTGTATTTACGAGAAAAACACGAAATTTAAATAGTGTAAAAAAAAACTTACAAATAAACAAACAAAACCTAAACCCGAAAAAGAAAAAAGACAAAAAACTATGAGAATGCTTACAAGATTAATGCATCCTATAAAATATAACCCTAGCTGACATTAAACACTGGCTATTTAATCAAAATTCAATAAGTCTGCTTGAGGAAAGGTTCTTAAGTTGCCAAATACACGACTGGCATTAAGCATTTCGGAACCACTCCGATGAGTCGAGATACGCACTCTCACTCCTTCTGTTTGTCTACTTGTAGTTGTCGTTCCTAGGGGTGGAGGCAAACTTAATTTGTTGTCGATTTCCTCTGTCACCTTACGCCATGATATGGTTAGTGGTGTTTAAAATCATGTGATAACGAAGCAGTTTATGGCGCCATCCTATCCACTGATGACACGATTCTATTGTGAAATAGACACGTTGCATGAAGTGATGTCGCAATCTCTATTGTCAACTAGCAATATCTTCTGAATCTTAATAGTTTAGAAGTATTATAAAATTCCTACCAACACATAAATTCACACACCTGTGAAATGTGAGAAAATTTGACGATAATACTTTTCCCTACGTGTGTTGTTATTGTATAGTGTTGTTTACACCTGCAATAATGCATTTCAAACTTATTTTATTTTCTACCTATTCAGCATTTTCGATAGTCTGGAACGAAAACGATATCTTACAATTTCATGTGATTTTCTGCTGAAAACTAGTTACATTCCGCGAAGGTAATGGCACTTATGTGACTTTAAAATATTCGACAGTACAAATGAAATAATGCTCTTGTAAATAAAATCAATGATACAGAAAATATGTTAACTATGAAAGAAGGACAAAACAAAGCACATTGAAGTAACGTGTTTCAAAGGACCGTGATAGCTCAGTTGATAGAGGGCTGGATTGAGGGGCGTAGTTCCGACACTTCTAACAAGTATGTGTTTATCAGGGAGACGAGAAACGGTCCGCCTGTACAGTCATGATTGTGTGTTTAGGCGAGACCTTTTACCCTTACTATTTTGACTGCGACGTGCCTCCCGTATGTTATTCAGTGACGTAGCTGCAATTATCACAAGGGACTCCGCCTTAAAAATGACCACGGCTTGTCATGGGGAGGTAAACCAAGAATAAGCTTCATCACGTTAAAATCTGTGATGACTGATTTTTACTGTCATCGTGTTGGTTTAGGCGGTAACGCAGCAATGCGACAGTTTGACTAAAGTTTCCCAACAATGTGACACACATATGGTTTTTGACAGAGTACTTTTTGTAGCGTTTAAACTGGACAAGAAAATGTATACCTCGCCATTTCTATATACATTTACATTGTGTATATTTGTCAGGTCATAACTTTGTCAATACCAATACTTGGCCACTCTCGTTTATCTAACACTCATCGGAAAGACAAAGCATTTCTCTTAAAGTTTATGTATATGTTACTTATATCTACAGACGTTGAAATATAATATAATTAAAAAGGATATGTTTCCCTTCTCGTAAGTTCCATCCCTTGTCGCTATGATACATACAATGGTATATATCGACCGTGGGTTAGGGATTCGTATCAATCCACTGTGTCACTTCAATACATAGATAGACCGTGGGTTAGGGATTCGTGTCAAGTCCCTGTGTCACTATAATACATATATATACCGTGGGTGAGGGATTCGTATCAATCCACTGTGTCACTACAATACATAGATATACCGTGGGCGAGGGATTCTTGTCAAGTCCCTGTGTCACTATAATACACACATATATACATACCGTGGGTTAGGGATTCGTGTCAAGCCCCTATGTCACTACAATACATAGATAGACCGTGGGTTAGGGATTCGTGTCAAGTCCCTGTGTCACTATAATACATACATAGACCGTGGGTTGTGGATGCATGTTAAGTCCCTGTTCAGTGACATATACACTGTTTACAAATCGACAGAACATTTCCTCTGAATTATATTCCTATCTACAACGTTATGCAATAATTGATAAAAGTCGATTCGACCACTCCTTGGTTAAAACTTGGTCAAGATCAATAGATGTGCGAAAGTTTCTTTCTAATAATTAAAAAAGAAACAAACACTGAGTAATGATAGGTCTCCTGCCAAAAAATTAGTAGTTTTAATAATGGACTATTACCTAAAAGGAGCTGTCTCGATCTTGCTAT